AAGTTAAAAGTACCTATTAATCTGGGAGAGGACTGGATGACGGTTTGGCAGCACTCATCTGACCCGCGACACTCTTGGACACGTAGTGTGTGTAAATGCCGTTCCTAACATGTGTGCACGCCAGCACATCTCTTACAGCATGGCTGCAAAAAACTGCTCGTGGGTTGAGTGTGAATGGGCTTTTGGTGTGTGGGCATTTCACACGGAGGGAGAGGAGATTGGAGACTCCTGGGTCCAAATCACAGGTGAAGAGAGTTTTTGCCTAGCCAACAATCCTCTTGTGAGCTGTGAAGAAGACTTGGAAAGCCGAGTCGAGGTCAGTACAAGGGTGTGCCAGCTGTGTGTGTGTACACTGGATGGGTTCCTGGTGCACAGCTAGCTCAGGAGGCCCCAAGCGCCAACAGTCGCTGTGCACGGGGATAGAGGGCAGCACATGCCAAAAATAGGGAGACAGAGGCCAGGATGTTCACCTAGCCAGGGTGCTGGGCAAGGAAATAGGCAGAGAATGCAATATTGCGTTTTCCCACACGGAAGCTGAGAGGACAGGACGCATACGAGCATTTGAAACGAGAGATGGGTTGAAAATAGCTCTTCACAAGTCGTATCAGACCAGGAAAGGGCTGTCACCCCATGGCCAACAGCAGGGTTTGAAAGCCGACAATAAGACAGCAGGATTGTCTAAGAAGACTGCTCCGTGGTGGAAATGCTTCATGCCCTGGCTATCAGTCTTTCCCAGTCCATGATTTTCCTCGCTGGCTGGAGCAGGAAATTGAGGATGTGTATTGGAAATATTTAAAAACTCCATCTGATGTTGTATCAGACCGTGAAGGAATATTCCCAGAGACCAGTGTAACAGCACAGCTCCCTCTATCTTTTCCGGCGAGTTGAAATATTTCAGTTCCTAGCTCTGGATCAACCTGCCCTTGTACAGATCTCTGAAAATGGGCTTCAGCGAGAAGCTCCTCGAAGCCGGTCTTTGCTGCCCCTGGCCCTGTGCCGAGGCTGACAGCCCTGCCAGACTTGCCTCTGGCCCCAGCAGTCCTGGATGGCAAGCCAGGACTTCCCATCATGGGAGGAGGAAGGATAGGAAGAAACCAGCCGTGGTTGTCCCAGGGTTCAGGTCATCTGTTTCCAGCCAGCTCTAGGTGGGTATCCGAAGGTTCACAGACGTACCATCTGTCTCTCAGAATCATCAACATCATCTCTAATCTTTAAATGCTGTGTTTTATTTTAATTTATAAAGTTCACTGAAAGCTGTTGGTTGGGATGACACCCAATGTCTATTGTCATCAAAAAGTCCCAGAAACCTCCGTTCAGGTGGGTTGGGGCTGGCGTCTGTGGAATTTGATGAGAAAAAGAACATTTATTTGGTGCCAGCTGTGTGCCAGGCCCTTCCACATTCCTGCGCCCGGGAGGGGCTCCAGCCTCTGCTCAGACACTGCTCGCTTTAGCTTGAAGGATCCACAGAACAAGGGGCTCGGTCCGGAGTCTGCGTGCTGAGCATTCTCCCTGGACTCATGGCCCACTTCAAACCTGGTCTGATAAATATATGATCATGGAGTTTGCCGAGCGGAAGGCTCTGAAGAGCGAAGCGGATTCAGAGCAGCCGCAGTCATCTGAGGACAGGTGGGCAGGCGGCAGGCTCGGGCACTTGGCTCCTGCGTGCAGCCATCCTGCCACCGAGAAGCCGGGACATTCATCTTTAATGGGCTCCCAATTCTCACACGGACGTACCCTGTGCAGCCAGAGGGGAAACAAACTCTCGAAACAACCTGCTCCAAAGAAAACCGAGGCTGCAGGGGCTGGGAATCTGTGAGCATCTGCAGGGAGACTGGGCCCCCTCCTGTGGAAGCGTCCTCCTGGAATTTTCTAGAAGGCCGCTTCTGTCTCTCGAAGCCTGGCGCGGGATCGCTGAGGGGGACTGAGTAATTAGCCCCAATTTATATTAATGGCATTTTAGATTAGCCACAGCTGAGCCTGGCTTCCCTCCTGTGCATTGGGGAACCAGATATGAAGGGGAAATGCAAAAATATAAATAAAAAAGAGAAAAAGACAAAATAGAAGCGCCAGTTGTGTACAAGGGAAAGAGCAAGAAGAGGCAGAGAGTGGGAGCAGGAGGCCAAGGGCATCTGTCCCTCTTGGGTCCTCTCAGCCCCCAAGGACCCCTCCCTTCTGTCACAGGCACTCCTCTCACCGAGCGGGGCCCCTGCAGCCATCATTCACCTTGACCCCTGCCCTGGTCACAGGCGCCTGGTGCAGGAGCCGGGCAGAGCCGCTCCCCTGGGAGTCAGGGTGTGGGCCTGAAAGGGCACGCCAGCAGGTGGCCCCGCCTGTGCCTGCCGTGTGGTGGCGATGAATGCAGGCTCTGCACCCCACTGCCCACCTGTGAACCCCAGTGCTACTGCCTGGCAGCTCTGTGACCTCAGGAGGTTTCTTGGACAGCCCGAGCCTTAGGCTCTTCCCGTTAAATGGGGCTAACGATGGAGCTGAGCTGGGGGGAGCGGCTGTCGGCAGGTGGGGGTGGTCAGCCTGTTAGACGCTCAGCCCCCACAGCCCACGGCTCGGGAACCAGCTCTGCCGCACAGATGAAGAACCTCTCTGATCCAGCACCCTGGGGGCCTAGTTAATGGTTTCCTTTCCAGGCTTATTGGCAAAGTGAGTTAGTGAAGGAACAACTAACTGAGTGAATGAACCCGGCTAGTTTGCCTACAGTCAACAGCTGGTTGATTATTCAGGAAGTTTTATTTTCAGAAAAACAGGTGAAGAGGCAAACCTCCCTCCCCCCTCCCCCCAAGTCCTCCCCAGTCAGCCGGGAATTTGCTCGTCCCAGTTCATCAGTGACTGCAGCACTTCCCAGACACAGTGACTGCCATGAATAGGGGACAGCCAGGGCTCGCAGGCTGTGGACACGGATTTGCCCTTTTTTCCAACAGATCCAAGCGTGGGACGTGTCTGAGGAAATGCTGTGCTGGCCGAGAGGGAGTCGGCCCAGGTCTTGGGGCCGGGTTAGGGCCCTGGGGGATAACGGAAGCCGCCGTCCATGTGGCATCCACAGGTGCCTACGAGTCTGTGAGTCTCCACAGCGGGTGCCAGCGCTGGACGGAGAGCAAGGCAGAGGCGACTCTGTTCTCGGAGTCACAGCCGGGTGGGCTGAGCGCATCAGGACGTCCACTGCCAGCCCCGGTGACGTCCACTTGGGCTGGGTGTCAGCCGAGGCGGGCATCTGGCTGGCCCTGGAGGGTGAGGAGAGCAGCCCCGGGGAGGAGGTGAGGGCCGGGGGTCTGTGGATGTGTGGAGATGCCTCGAGTCTGAGGGGGACACGGCTGTGAACGGTGTGCAGGGGGCAGGGCCGCCGCCGCTCCTCTGGCTGGGAAGGAGTTTGGTTTGGTGTGAAGGATGGTGGGAAGCCTCGGATGGGTCTTAACCTGGACCAGCAATGACAAGACGAGATTTCCATCTTAACAAGACCGCTGAGGCTGTCAGGACAGGATCGGCCGTGGGGGTGAGGGCGGAGGTGGTGGGGCCATCTGGGTGCAAGGTGGGGGAGAAGGGCTGGAGTAGGTCAGGGGTGGAATGTTCAGGAAGACTGGGGACCAGCCGGGTTTCTGGCTTGAGATGGTCCCCATGATCTGAGGGAGGACAGAGCGTGGGGAAGTGCAGGCTCCCACTTAAATGTTGAATGTGAGCTGCCTGTGAGCTGTCCACACCACACTGTCGGCCTGGAGGACTCTGTGTACTCTGCTCCTGGCTGGCTTGGCTGGTTACTCACTGCCGGTGTGTTAGTTACTCATTGCTGAGTAACACGTCACCACAAGCTTAGGGCCCCTTGTCTCAGTGTCTGTGGGCCAGGGTCCCCCCAGCTCAGCTGGGCCCCTGCTTCAGAGTCCCTCTGAAATGCTGCAGGCAGGTGACAGTCTCGGGCTCTCATCTGAAAGCTCGCCCAGGAGGACCAGCCTCCATGCTCACGCATGTGGTTGTCGGCGGCATTCAGCTCCTCCTGGGCTGCTGGCCAGAGGCTGCCTTTAGTTCCTGGCCACATTGGCCTCTCCCCAGCTCACAACAGGGCAGCTGGCTTCATCTGTGAGCAAGCGAGAGGGTGAAAGAAACAGAGAGAGACAGACAGAGACAGAGAGAGATACACATGGAGAAAGAAAGACAGAGAGAAGGTAAGGAGAAAGAGAGAGGGAAGGAGGGAGAAAGAAAGAGAGAAGGAGACAGAGGGAAGGAGAAAGACAGAGATAGAGAGGCAGGCGGAGAGAGAGACAGAGAGAGAGAGGAGAGGGAGAGAGATAGAGAGAGAGATATATAAATGGAGAGTGCCAGCTAACAAGACAAAGTGAGGGCATTTTGTACTCTAATTGTGGAATTGACAGCCCCTCCCTTTGTCTGTTTTAATCCTTAGAAGCAAGTCCCCAGGTCCAGCCCACACCCATGGGGAGGGGACTACACAGGCGTGGACACCAGGACGCAGGATCACTGGGGCCACGTCGGAAGCTGGCGGCCACCATAGGAAAGGCATTGAGCCCTCTCTGCAACCTGGGCCCTGGGCGGGGGTGCAGGTGCCTGGGGGGCTGATGCGAGGGGCAAGGGCAAGCGGCACCTGCCGTCCCAGAGGGACCTGCCCCGCTGACGCGCAGACCAGGAGAAGGCAGAAGCGCCTGCTCCTTCCCGTGTCTAGTTCTGACCCCGGTGCTGGGGAAATGGGGGTTGTTTTTGTTTACTTACCGTGTTAGTGCCTGGGGCTGCTGTAACAGTACCGCACACCAGGGGCCTAACTCAGGAGGAGGTTACTCATAGTCCTGGGGGACGAAAGTCTGAGATCAAGGTGTCGGCCGGGCTGTCCTGCCTCCGGAGGCTCTCTGGGAGGACGCTTCTCTCCTAGTCCAGCTCCTGGGGGATCCAGTGTCCCTCAGCTTGTGGCCGCATCCCTCCAGTCTCCCTCTGTCCTCACATGGCTTCTGTTCTCTCTTCTCCTCTTCGGTCTGTCTCAATCTCCCTCTCCTTGTAAGGACACTTGTCATTGGATTTAGGGCCCACCCAATAATCCAGGATGGTCTCCTCTCGAGATCCTTAACTTAGTAACATCTGAAAGTTCCTTTTCCTAAATAAGGTCAAAGTCACAGTTTCCAGGATGTGGATGCATCTTTTTGGGGATCTCCATTGGGCCCACGACACTTACTCATATCCACCAAACTGTTTTACCTCTGGCCCCAGGGCAGCAGGCAGCAGAGTCACTTCCAGAGAATGCTGTCTGCCATCTTCAGTGGGGTCCAGCAGTGCACTGTCCTCTGGGTTCTCTCAGGTCCTCTGGGGGCCTGGAGTGTGGCACGGAGTGTGGCGACCCTCCTATCCCTTCAGGTCCAGAACATTTGTGCTGCCTGTTTCCTGGCCTGGGACCCATCTCTGTCCAGTGCCCTTCAGGGCCTGGCATCATTCCTGACACTGACTCCGACCCACAGGCCCACCCGGCGCAGCTCCGTGGGCCTGGGACACCGAGCAAAGACAAGATCTCGTTTGTGGATATTCATGGGCTTGGCGCAAGGGGGGACGATGAGGAGGAACAGAAGGAAATCCCCCCAGGGCTCCCTGTTTCTTCCCTCCATGTGGAGGACTTGCTCTTCAGGTTCTAACAGCGCCTCCTCCCCTCAAATCTCGGTGGCCTCTCCCGTCGCTCCTGAGCCGGTGAAGGATGCTCTGCCTGGAGCAGACGGCTTGCCCATGCTCTCCTCTCGGGGCAAGTGGCTTTTGCTCCCAAACAAGAAAACAGTCATTACGAGGCCATGAGGGGCTTTTATAGACGTGCCACAGACTCGCGCTCTTTCTCGTTCAATCCCGTTAAAAGTGTTCGAATGTCCTGCTGCTGGCCTGCTGGGAAGAGGGGTCCCTCTCCCTCCTTGTAGGAAGCAGTACAAAGGCCGGGTGAGGACATTTGGCAGACATTTCCAGGGAAGTTCTGCGGGAGGGAGAGAAGGTCTCGCCTGTCTGCACGGGGCTCGGGGTCACCATACCGTGTCAGGTGAGGAGTGGAGACCACAGCCCAGCCTGGCTTTGAGGGTCCTGCTTTTCTGCATCCCCTGGTCGGGTAAGGGGGTTTGCTGAGGCTGCGCCCCTCAGCCTCCCCCATGTCCTGGCTCTCCCACCAGATTCTACGTCGACTTCTCCCACTGATGGGGTCCTGACATGCACACCCGATGAGCCGTCCTGGGGGACACTGAGGGTCCAGCTGGGCATCGCCTCTGCTCATTTCAGAGGGTGAGCATTGCTCCAGGTCCTCAAAAGCTCCCAGGGACAGGGGACACACCTCTTCTGCTTTGAAAGAAACCAGACAGACAAACCCCACCTGGACAGCAAAGATGGCGATCTGGCTACATATTGAGTGAGTCTTGTGTCCCCACAGCCCCCTGAGGTGGGTGCCACCATGAACTCCACTTCGCAGACAGGAAAGTGGAGGCTTGCAAGTGTAAGTCACATGCCCAGTGTCACACAGCGGGCCCAGGACCCTCTGATTCCAGAGCCCACCCTCTTAGTGGCACACGATGGTGTGGGCAGCTCGGGGTGGCCAGGGGACAGCTGAGTCCACGAGCTGCCTTGGGGAGTGGTGCCCTGAGACTGGCCAGGAACCCCCAGTCCAGGCCCCTCAGAGGGCTCCCATTCTCCCCCAAAACCCTGCCCCTGGTCCCCCACAGCGTGCAGAGACCATGGTCTGTGATACTCAGGGTGGCTCCGGTTTCTCGAGCACACGCTGGGCTTCGGGTCTTAATATAAGTTCTCTGTTGTCCCCGCGCCAACCCAGCATGACAGGTGTGACTGTCCTCACTTCACAGGTGGGCAGACTGAGTCACAGGGAGACCCAGTGGCAGGTGCAGACCCCCAGCTGGAGAGTGGCTGGGCATGTTCCTTCTCAGGCTCATCTGATCCCATCCGATGGGCAGCGGCCCCCATTTTTCACGTGGAAGACAGGAGATAGATCACCTGGGAGACACCTCAGCAGGAGGGAACTGGGATGGACACCAGGGGGACAGCCGGCTGGGCCCCCACATGAAGCCCAGCAGCCAAGGCCAGTAAGGTGCAGCCCAGCTGAACTAAGGGCCACCCTCCCTGACACCCAAAAGCCGTCAGCTCCTGAGCGATTTGCTCCTCAGCCTCATTGCCCTGACCTCATCTCCTGTGGGCTTTCTGGGGCCCACTTGGTGTGCCGTCAGGCACCACAGGGTCAGCGATCAAGACCAAGTTTATGCCCCTGTTGACTCAGGTGGGAGGAGGCCGCGACCAGGCTGGAACGAGGATAGCGGGGGTGAGCCGAGTCCCTCTACCTCCCAGGTCCCACAAGGCTCACTGGAGAATCCTGTGGGGGGCGGGGGTGGCTGACAGGGTCAGACTTATGTGACAAATGGCTCTACTCCCCAGTAGCATTATGGACAGGACCGCAGGGAAGTCCTCTGTGGCAGTAGTTCCTGCCCACCTGCATCGGGGGGATTTGCAGAGAGCGGCAGAGGAGGAATTGGAGGTCCCCCTGAGCAAGTGGGCAAGGGTGGGTGGGCCCTGCAGGTCTCTGGGGTACACCTGCAGCTTCCCCAGCACCACAGCTGCCTCACTCGCCCTCGGCTTCCTCCAGGGGAGCCCGTCACAGACCCAGAGGTGAGGGGTGGGTGGGGCAGGAGCCCCACTGCTCATCGCCTGACACGCCGCTGCTCCCACTGCTGGTGGATGAGGGATTTGGGGTGGAGGGAGCTCGGCTGTGACTCCAAGTCCCCATCATCTTCCCAAGCCACGATGGAGACATGTCCCTCCATGACCCTGGCTGCTGAGGGTCATCTAGAAGAATGGTCAAACTCAGGTAACCCTGGGGTGACCTTCTGCCCTGCTCCATTGCTGAGTGGCCTTGGGTGAGTGTCTTGAGGGCTCAGAGCCTCAGTTTCCTCCTTTGTAAAGTGGAAGACTAACGATGCGTCTGCTCTTGAGGGTACCATGAGGATTCACAAAGAAGGCAGGGTGACAGGTGGGGGCATCCACAGGGCTAGCCCTGTACTGTCCGGTGTCACCTCCCTTCTTTGCTGGATGGTGGTGGAGATTCAGGCCCTGGGGAAGAGGCAGGGAGCACGCGAGGAGTCACGGGGCCTTGGGACAGTGCTGTTTACCCACCGTGCGCACCAGTGTGTCAATCTTTATGGCCTTGGCAGCGGTAGCGGGTCTGCAGGGCGTGTGGGGTCACCCAGCACGGTGCTGGTGCACAGTAAGAGCTCAGTAAGCGAGAGCTGCTGACGGCCTGGGTTCCTGAGTGACAGCGTGGAATGGAGCTGCCCACTGGCCGGAGCACTCAGCCTGGGCTCTTGTCACTGCGGTTTCACCCTCTAGTGGAACCGAACCAAGCCATCAAAAGAGAGCTTTATCCTCTCACCCAACATTGTGACCACCTTGTAGGTGGATGGGGTGTGTGTCATCGCCCCATTCGTGGGGGAGAACAAGACTCGAGGCTCAAGCGGCTGTGGGGCCAGAGGATGGGCCCTGCAGTTGAACACACCGAGGAAATACCCAGGCTCGTCCACTCACGGGCTTTGAGTCTGCTGTCAAGTCCCTCCTAGGGCCTTTCTGAGCCTCAGTTCATCATCTGTGAAATGGGGTGACGATGCCCTTGTGTGGCTGTGGGAGGGTCCAGGGGTGACTGTCGTGCTGGAGGCACTCAGCAAACAGCAGCTGTTCTCGAGCGGGTGAGCGGCGTCTGGCTGGCCCATGCCCCTGCAGACCCAGCAGGGCTGAGGATCAGTCCACCAGGCAGAGGAAGGCCTGGAGAAAAACTGAAAGCCAAGGGCAAGCAGGCCCCTGGCTGCTCCTGGCTGGCCTGTCTCTGCAGCAGCGTCGCCTGCTCCACGAGACTGAATGTCGGGTGCAGTGTTTCCCTGATGAGCAGAGACAGGCAGGACAGACTCTCTCCTTTACTCCTTCCAGAGTCTCTTTAGCATTCTCCTAAAAAAAAAAAAAATACTTGAAGGATTCTTTTCTTAGCTTTGAAAACATACCCATAACTCTATATTAAGAAACAGAACACAATAGACTCTGCTGGTTGAGAGAAGTCGGCCTTTTGACAGGTTATGCCATCTCAAACTTGCGGAGCTCCTAATGGGGGCTCAGACGTTATAATTTGCCACTAATTGACACTGGGTTGCCTCCAGGGCCATTCTGCCAATTCGCTCCTGGAGAGAGGTCAGAGGAAGCCGCTACAACCACGGAGGCAGATGTATCCTGAGGTTTGCTGCTGTCTGGAATCGTGGAATTAGAATAGCAGAACAAGACAGAACTCCATCCCCGCCCCTCGCTCTTCCTCTGTCTGTCTCTCTTTCTCTCTCTGTCTCCCTCCCTGCCCCCTGCCTCTCTCTCTGTCTCCGTCCCTCTCTCTCTCTCTCTCTGTGTCTCTCGCACAAGCTTCCCACTTGCTCCTTCTGGCAGAGAGAACTGAGGGTAGTGGGGACTCTGCCTTCACCCCTCCCTGGGCAGCAGGGACCTGGGGCGCAGGAGGCCCCGGCCTTCCCAAGGATCAAGGTTCAGTCCCCGTCACAGGTCTCTCCAGGCATTCAGCCTGGGTCCCTCTCCTCTGGCCCCTCAGGCCCTCACTGCATTCGTCCGGAGGGAGCTGCAGGCTCAGGGGGCCCCAAGGAGTCGAGCCTCTGCCCGGCACCCTCATGGCCGCCCCTCTGCTCCTCTGGACGCGGTGGCTGCTGTGGACCGGCTGCAGCTTTTCTGGGATGAGGTTATGCTGCATGGAAACAGTCTGATCCGCTTGGTTGTGTGTTGAGCCGTGGTATTCTGCTCCAGGTCAGCGCTTACTCCAGGACTAATAAAGCCCACTCCCGAGGCCGAGTCCCTCTGAGAAGTCTGCCCGGTGCCCCACGATTTACGGGGTTTTCCGGGCAGGCTGGTGGAGCAGACACTGTTCTTGGCCTGGTTTGTCCCCCTCAATCCCTCAAGTGGCCTTTCGTGGCCTCAGGCAGATCCTGACGAGTGTACAGTGGTCAGTGCTTGGCCAGAGACCGCAGGGAGACCTCTGTGGATCTCTGCAGTTCTCTAGGAAGCCCTCTTGTCTCTGGCGCTCCGGCACAGCTGCCCGGCCTCCCTGGACTTCTGGCTGTGTCTCCTCAATGCAGAGAGTCCACAGGTTCTGCCAGGACCCCTCCCCGTGCTGCTGCCTGGAGATTGTCTGGGCGGTGAGCGTGGGCCATCCTGGGGCTCACGCCGGAGTCTCCCATCCCTCAAGGGTCGCTGTCTTTCATGGCCTGATGCCCATTGTCTTGAAAACCATTATTTCCTATATTCGTCCAGTCGTTACAGCCAGGGTGTAATTTGGCGTCTGTTGTTCCATCTTGGCTGGAGCAAGAGTGCCCCTTGCATTGTATGGCCTCTGAACCCCTTCCAGGAGGTGTCCCCCACCAGGAACCATATCCTACGATGCTGAACCCCCCACCCCCTCCCAGCCCCTGTGCTCGGCCAGAGCTCTCTACTGAGCTAAGTCCTTGTGGACTTTCCCAAAAGGCTGGTGGCTTTCAGAGTGTGGGAGCCGATCTCAGCCTTGTGTAGGTGCTGGACTCATCGTCCTGTTCACCCCAACAGCCTTGAATGGGCTCCTGTTTTTTGTTTCTGTAGCCCTGAGTTCTAACTCCAGAATCTGACGGCCACACAGGGCTGTGGATTCTAGTGTCATCACCAGCGGCTTTGCAAACGACGGGCCATCACCAGGAGAGTTTCCTAGGTGCTGAACGCCCTGAACTCCATCAGCCTGCCTGTGCTTTTGATGTACAGAGATGAAGCGGATTTCTGAAGATCTGATTGAAGTTCGGGTGATGTCAAAGGTCAGAGGCAGGAACAAGCGATGAAAAGAAACAAAACCAGCTGAAATTACTATCTTCAGGAGCCGGGTGCTGGGTCAGCCGAAGTCGGGAATGAATCACCTTCCCCTTCAGTGAGGCCGGGGCTCCCTCCAGACCATCTTCCCCTCTCAAAGGCCCTTTAGAAAAGCTGGCCTGGCAATGTTTCCTCAAAATACACGCGTCCTTCCCGTGGCCTTTCTGTCTGACTTTTCCTTTTGACCCTCAAGGAGCTGATGTGAGAGGCAGAGGGCAGAGTGGGCAGCGTCTATATTGCCAGCTCTCCAGTGGCTTGACTCCCATGAGGGGAGTGTGTGTGTGCGCGCGCGTGTGTGCAGCGGGATGGGCGGCTCGCAGGGTGGGCAGCGGCCCGACATGGCAGAACCACGTGTTCAGGCTGAAGTGAGTTCTCTGCAGACTCTGAGTGCAAGTAGAGAAACCCACTGGGCTCAGGGGAAACAGGGTAAAGATAAGCCCGCGCTGGCGCTGCGGATGCGCCAAAGTGCGGTCCAGGATTTAAATAGCTGCAGACCCCCAGGGGCTGATTGCTGTTTCCCTGTCCTGCTGGTGCCCCTCCCAGCCCTCGCCCGCCAGGCCAGCGAAGGCACATCTTGTCCTCAGGGCCTCTCTCGGATTTTCTTCCTCGTCCCCCACCCCTGCTCTGACGGCTCTCGTCCACCTCTTTGCTCCCCAGCACTTTCTCTGCTTGCACACATTGAGCGTTTGCTGTTTACAGATTCCCAGAGGGCAGGGAATCCATGGAAGGGGCCGCAGCAGTGCTGGATGGAGGCCCTGGACATGGAGCTGGAGGACCGGAACCCAGATTTGCCACGAACTGGCTGGGTGTCCTTGAACCAGCAGATTAACCTCTCTGGGCCTCAGTTTCCCCAGCTGGCAAGTGGGGCTGATGATCTTCTGAGAGCTGGATGTTTGTCGAGCACCAAATGACGCAGCTTGTGAACTTGGAAAGGATGTGTATTAACGCTCGTAGAATGTGGTTAGACACACAATGCCAAAAAAAAAGAATCTACTTATTGATTGAGCCGCAGCTAATTTTGAGAAGCTGACAGGAATGTGCACAGCACTTATCTGAGGGAAAAATGATTCCAAATTTCTAAGCCAGAGGCATAATGGAGTCCTGGGTCCAAGCTGATAGTAGCTACCTTCTATGATTGCAAGCTTACCACGTGCCGGGCACCGTGCAGATGGCTTTTATATTATAATAGTCAGGATAAAGTTTAGTTGCATGTGTCATAAAACCCAAAATAGCACTGGCTTAAGGACATAAGAGCTTAAGGGATAGAAAATAAAGGGCTGCCTCAGAGTTTTTGAAGTCATCAGGTACCTTCTGTATTACATCTATGCCACACAAGACTTCTATTCCGAAAGTTACCTCATGGGCCAACATGGATGCTGGGGCTCCAGCCGTCAAGGCATTCTTATTCTAGTCAGAGACAAAGGGAGGAAGGACAAAAGACATGCACCTTCCACCTGATTCAGCTCCCTTTAAGGGGTTTTCCTGGAAGTCCCACTAACACTTTCACCCTTATAGCTGCAGGTAATGAAGGGAGAGGCGAAAGGGTAAGCAGAGAGCACACCCACGTCCTCTAAGGGCCACTCCCCAGACTCAGCACACATCACTCCCGGTCACGTTTCATTGGTCAGAATTTAGTCAGAAAATGTCATCTTTTAGGGGGTACGTTGCTGCTCCCATACGATTGGGATTATGTTTGTAAGGAGGATGGTGAGAACAAATATTGAGCAGATGCCAAGGAGCATCTGCCACATGGAGAATCTCCCATTTAACCCTCACACCATACGTACGTGAGCACGGGCATCAGGGCTTTTTGACAGATGAGGAAACTGAGGCTCAGAGAAGCAAAGTGCTCTGTCTAGGCTGTGCCCGTGCTTGAGCCCTGACCCCAGCCTCTGCTGTCAGTGCGCTGGTGCATGGCGAGGTCCACGGTAGGACTAAGCGCATGAAGGTCAGTGCCCTTTTCCTCGGAACGCCCAAGAGGAAGCCGTGCCCCCTTCCCAGTGCTGTGGCCACGAACAAAGTCTCAGGTCTCCCCGAACTCTGCCGGTGCTGGAGCAAAGCGGAGCAGGGCAGGGCTGCCTCCAACGAGGACCATGGGGAATGGAACGTTATCCACAGAAAAGACGGGAGTGAAGGGGCTCTGAGCGCCCATCCAAAGGCCTCCATCAGCTGTGACTGGCGACTTCAACTTCCCCAGCAGGGCTTGGCCATCTCCTGTTCCATCAGGAGCGGGGGAGGCTCCCAATACCCCCCAGTGCCTTCCCTGAGTGGCGAGTGCACTGACGCCGTGGGTTTCCCTGCTCTGTGTGGGTTCAGGTCCGGGGTAATGTTCCCCCTCATGGGGAGGCAGCTGAGGTCCCTGGTTCTGAGCCACATAAATGTCGGTCTCCTGAGGCTGTAGGGAGGACAGCTCCACAAACTCCACCGGGAGGAGTGGCCTCTGGGAAATGAGAACTGGCCAGTGGCCTGGAAAGTGCCGTCCAGTAAATCAGCGCGTCCGCTATGGCTCAGGACCGGCACCATCCGCAGAGATGGACGTCTCCGCTCCCCTCTGGAACCTGTCAATGTGGCGTCACGTCGCCCACACCTTGTTAAATCTTCCCTCGGAGGAGGTGGGTCACAATGTATCCACGGTCAGAAGAGGGAGAGGGCAGGGGCTCAAGGCTCATAGTTATCCGGGATCTACGGAGAGAGGGAGGCTGCAATGAGCATGACCCGGGAGGGCCAAGTGGAGAGGGGACGGGTGTTTACAAACAGAGGAGGGCTCGGTGTCGGGTCCCATCCTGGTCACCAGTCCCGCCCGCAGCAGGTCAGAGCCGTTCAGGTCTGACCTTCCTGGGTGTCTCCCCTCTGGCCTCTTCCTCCTCCTCCTGGGCTTTGGGGCCCTTGGTTACTTCCTCTGTCAACCTGCCCCCATGGCCAGGCGGGTAGCTGAGAATGCGCGGTGGTCAGCAGGACGGGGCAGTCCTCGGGTGGCACTTCTGCAATTTGTGCCCTTGCCCGGCACTCGAGCGGTGGGCTGTGGGGTTAAGTCTCTCTTCAGGCGAGCTCCCATTTGTCCCGTGTTAGTTCCCAGGCAGCTGTAACAACGTCGGTGCTCCCCATCACCCACCATCCCCTCGTCTCTCCTGTTCCTACTGCTTATGCTTTGGGGAGAGTTCCTGCTGATTCTAGTCCAGGAGTGGACAACCAACTCAGATCTGGCAGACTGGAGCCTCCCATCCTGTGGCCACAGTGAAGGGTTCAGGATTGGCGTGTGCTCTGGCCAGTCATTCAGACCTCGGTGCAGACTCTTGGAAAGGGGCATGTGTTTTGTCTCTCCGGGAACTTGGAGCACTGGGGTGACCAGAGCCTGGAGATGCCAGGTGCCACCACATGGAGCGTGATAATGAAACCAACACAGCAGAAGGAAAAACCCGGACCTGGAGAGAAACCAAGTTCTGAAGAGCCCCTGGACGAAGCCATACCTGAAGCAAGGCCACCTTGGATTTCTCCATGAAGCAAACAAATGAATTCCCTTTTCACCCAGTGCCTGTTCAGTTGGGTTCTCTGTTAATAGATTAATACAAGGCCAGCTTGATGCCGGGATCCGAGTCTGTTAATGTGCACTCATGCACACACGTGTATGTTGAAAACGAGTTAGACCCAGGCCTTGCCCATGGGGTGTATAATCTAGTTAGGGAGACTAAATATAGCCACAGCAAATGAATCATGACCACTCCTGGTGGGAAATTCTAAAACCTAAGTGGGGACCCTCAGGGGTTCCAAGAAGGGAGAGACTGTGGGAGTTGAGATCAGCCAAGGAAGTTTTTCCGGAAAAGATGGAGTCTTGTTCCTGGATGGGGTCAAGTTCTCTATTTTTGTTTGAAAGTCCCAGGAAATTTCACCTGCAGGAGTGGGTATGCATCTTTCCATGTTCCCAGCACATTCAGACAATCCCATTTAATTCCCGGCTCCAGCATTTTTCAAATGAAGACTCATCACAGTTGGGCAGCAGGAGAGAAGTGTTTTGGACTGTTTTAGAAAGAACAATCTTTTCTGTCTCTGTACCTTTTTTGTCTTTCCCATCAAGGCCAATTTAACAAAAACACCCTTGTGAAGCCCTCCCTGATCTCTTAGGCATCGGAGGAGGTCTCCGCCTCTGAATTCCTGCCAGGCAAGATGTGGAACATGTGAAATAGCGACATGTTGAATCTGCACCTGCTGGCGGGGGAGCTCGTCGGGGGAAGGCCCTGCCATTTACCAGCATCGATGCAAAGTAGGAGAGATTCACAATGGTTTCGTACGTAAAGGCCCATCCCAGGCACCTGGGGTGTGTGTGTCACCACAGCAGGTGACAGGAGGGCCTCAGTGGGTTGATGGGTCTAACATTGGACATCTTTGTGCTGCTCAGAGAGCAGCCTGCCCTCCAGGCATCTGACAGCAGGTTAAATCCTTGGATACGGAGCAGATGCCTTTTCCGCATCAGGCTTCTCAGTGTGTCCTTGGGAGGAGAGCCTGTTGGGAGAAAAACACTGGAGCCCAATTGGAGAACATCATGCCTCTAACCTGAAGACATGTTGGAAACAATCTGCCTTCCTCCAGGACTGATTGTGTTTTAGACAAGTCATCAGTTACCACGATGCTAACATGACGGCGTTGAGGAAGGGCAAAGCCTGCCATTACCACTGGGAACACCTAAGGCCCACGAAAACCATGTGGGCAGACATTCACACAATAAATAATCCTTCATTTGTCCAAAGACTCCATCCTGTGAACTGTGAATTCCTCTGGTGCGTGTTTGTGAGAGATGGAATGGGTAGACTAAGAAACTTATAGCAGAAATATTAGGAAACACCCAGTTAAAGATCAAGCAGAGGAGAAGACAAAACTTCTTTAAAAGCAAGCTAAAGGGAAGACAATTCAATAAAAATGGAAACGAAGTTGATGAAAAAGTGAATATTAGTCAATGTGACTGTTGTGAAACCTGAAATCCAAATGGACCAGGGAAGGACCCTGGAGGAACCCATTGACAAAGTCCTCGTGGGGAGGAGATTCCTGGGAAGATCTCCCTGGTGGGGGGCGGTGGATATATGGAAAGTAGAAGGACCAGGGGCTATGATGGCATCTTCTGAGGATGACTCTGGCTGACAAGGAGGGTGAAAAACGACTTCTGGTCCAGCCTGGAGCTCCGTGGGTGGATCAACAACAGGAGGGATGAAGCGGCTGCAGGAATACGCTGATAGAATAGGACAGGCAGAGAGTCAAAGAGCTGCTGCTCCTATCCTCTGTGTGAACAGGATCCGACCCGCTTCAGGTTGCAGATAATTCTGACTATGAAGGAGTGGCAAGGAGGCCACAGAGGATGGAGAGGAGGACTCAGGAAGAGCTGGTCAGCCTTAAGAGTTTCCAGGACAGACTGCTAATCACCAATTCCCATTTTCAAGGCCATTCTGACAGCCAGGGGTGAGGGAGGACATGTGTCACTGTGCTTAAGAGTGTGCACGTGAATGGAGTGG